GATGTTGCGGCGGAGATATTTCTGCTGGTCTGTTTCAAGTTGGGATCGGGTTAGTTCTTACGCCCTCCATTCCGTTTTTAACCTCACCCTGACCGTTATAGTCAAGACTTCGATAGATCGTCCCTTCCGGTGGGGTCTGTCGCGAATTTTCCCCGGCATAACGTCCCGATCGGGTGTTTTCCAGTTTGGGGGAGGCGAAGGCTCCGCGTTTTTGACGAAGCGGTGTTTGTAGAGATGGATTTTCTCGGCATTCAGCGAGCTCCCTCTCGGTTTCTTCCAGGCGGCTGGCGATGGTCCGGTGAACGATCTCTTGTTCACAAGATCTATCAATGAGCATCGAGATAATTTCCCTGATTTCCGCCATTTCGTCTCGAGTTGGAGATTTCAGTCTCTCTGTTCGGGTCGGATCTTTGGGCGTCATTCTATCTGTCATACGATTCCACACTTGAGATCTGATTCGATCGGTGGGAATGTTTCGATCTGAGATCGTACTCCTATCGGTGATCAAAGTTCCAATTGGTGGAACTTGTTGATTTTGGGTCGCATTGGAGGCTTCGCTGACGTTTATCTGATCGACGGTAGTCGGATCAGTTCCTAGAGAGGTTCTGATGGGGTCGACGTCACTTGATCTGGATCATGTGTTTTCGGGATTGGTTTCGTTGGGATCCATAATCGCCCTTAGAAATCCTAGATTGGGTTCTTAGCAAGTGCGTTTTTCATTTAACTTCCCCCAAGTCGGCTCGAAAATGTAGATCATAAAATCCACATTAAGTATTTTGTAGTGATCGAGATTCAATCAGGGGAAGACAAATGATGTGGGCAACGATGCTTTTAAACACAACGATACAATCGGAATTCGGTTGACAAAAATGGACTTTTATTGAATATGGAATTCGTTACAAGGTGATGAACAAGATCGAAAACAACAATGAAAAGTAGAAGGAATAAGCGAACTAGAAATCTGTGGAGTGAGGTTGATGTGATTAGTAAATTGCTCTAGGGTTTCCTGGTGTTTTTGCTCACTGTTCCAGCTCCTTTTTATAGCCCTCTTTTTTTCTAACTGCTTCCGCGATCTACAGGATATCATTTTGACCTCATAGAGTCCAGTTGATGTCGAGCTCGTGATGATCTTAAATGGGCTTGGGCCTACTCCATCAGGTGCTAAAATTGGGTCCAACAGTCTCCTTCTTGCTTCCTAAGAGCTTCTCCAATCTAAACTACCTGAGTCTCAAGCTTTCTTACCTAAGTACCTAAAGTATCAATCTTGGTGTTCAGATCATTGTAAATGGAATCAATTTTCCCATTGAAAGCCACTGTCAGTCCTTCAAAAACCTGATCAAGCATGGCTTCAATCTTGCTCTCTTGAGTCTGTGGTGGTGGATTCTGGTAGCATGAATTTCCATGACCCTTTTTGTTGTTGTTTCTGTTGTAGTTGCTGCTATAGGGTCTCTGATATTGTGAATTATGTTCGAAGTTACTCCTCTAACCATTACCACTAAAGTTTATGTTTCCAAACTGATTTCCAGACCACTGAAAACTAGTTCCTCCAATGTAATTCACATCTGCTGCTAACTCTGAATCTATATCCTCTGCATCTTCACTTGAAAAAACCTGCCTCATAAGTAGCTGGTTGACTATATCCAACTTAGCTTTTACTTCATCCATTTGTTCCTTCCTAAGTAATACTACAGATTTCCACCTTTCAGAATCAGTGTTCTTGGTGCTGCTGCTGTTTGCTAGATTCTCAATAAGTCTCACAGCTTTTTCTAGATTCCTGGTGTTGAAGCTCCCATTGCTTGCTGTATCAAGAGCCATCTGATACTCCAAAGCGATTCCTCTAAATTAAATACTGCGTAGCTGCACCTCATTGAATCCATGGTGTGGACAGTCGCGCTTGAAGAACTTAAATCTGATCCAAGAGTCTTTAAAGGACTCTCCAGCTTTCTGTGTAAAGGTAGCAATCTTGCTCCTCAGTTCTTCAGCTCATGCCTCATCAAAGAAATTGTGCAGGAACGCATTCTTGATGTCAGCCCAGAATGTAAGAGATCCTGGTGGTAGTTGCTTGAGCCAGTGCGCAGCATCTCCAGCAAATGAGTACATGAAGAGCTTGCACAATAGGTAGTTCTCAGGGACTCCCTTAACTCTAATAGCATCAATGAGATCCTCGAACCTCTCAAGATGGTCCATAGGATGCTCATGTGGCAACCCACAGTAGGGTATATGTGCCACAAGTGTGTAGTACTAGGGTTTCAACTCAAAATTTTCCCTCTGGACGTCTTGAAGACGAATAACTTACCTATTGGCATAGTATTGGTCTGGACGGTTGTAGTCTGCCAAGGTCTTGGGTCGAGTGGCCTCATCAGTATCAGTCTCAAGGATTACATTCCCTTGACTATCTAGTTTCTGACCTATCATTACGCACATGACCTTCATGGTCATACAGGTCTCCATTTTTATTTGCGGTTAGTTTCAGAGGCGCAACCATGTCTCACAGCTGAATATCGATCGATGTACGATGTGTGGTGTCAATCGATGTCGAGTGATTAGAATCAGTCGACGAAGAGTTGTTGGTGTCGATCAATGTGATAGTGAGGTCGGTTGTCGTCTTATGAGAATCGGTCAATATGCGAGTGTTGCTATCGATCGATTGGAGCGTAAGTCTTTGCCGATCGAACGTTCCAAGCTTGATGGGTCTTTTGAAAATAGCAGTTATTTCTCCTTATTGCTTCTGGTAATGCTATGCATGCACCTGAAAAATCAAGAAAAAAATTTAACAGAAGATGATAAAGAAAAACAAAAACAAAAACAAAAACAAAAACAAAAACAAAAACAAAAACATAGAATTATTAGACTAAATCTAATGGCGATCAAAGCTCCCCAGCAACGGCGCCAAATTTGATACATACTCGAATTACCCTATGCAGAAACGTACTCTCTCAAATACGAGATCTATTGCAGTACTTAGCGATTGAATGCACAAGGAGCTAAGGAACCACTTAAATCTAATCAAGCAATAAAACTAGATGTATATTAAATGTAAAAACTCAGTAAACAAGTAAACATAAAATAGTAATTATTTTAGTCGAGCAAGAAAATTACTCGATAGAATGGAATGAGGGTTTTGAACTTAAATGAAAAGGTGTTAAACTTAGGGTTTTTATTCATGTGTTGGAGATTATAATCCTATAGGTGATAATTTGTTGTTTGCATGGTATTAAAGAGCTTAACTATCTTAATAATTCAATTGACTAGAGTGTTATCGACCTAAACAATAATGTCCTATCAATAACAGTGTAGATCGATTGTTCTATAAGAATATCGATCGATACACTTCACACGACGTCGATCGATTTCCAATGGGAATATCGATCGATGCGGTTAGTCAAGCGTTATGCGCAAGTTAATCTATACTCACTTTGGATTCCCTAGATCAAGCGTTTGACTTCTCTCTAGTAAAAATCCTAGCTTAATCAGGATGTATTCACGATTATCAGAATTATCTGAGGATGCTTAAACAACCTAACAATCCTAGATTCAGGTTATTAGTTAGCAAGTCTAGAACATAAGCATTAAGAACATCCTATTAATGAATACCACAAAAAAACGGTCCTGTAGTTTGGGCTAATCACACTAGCCTATTTAAATCCTAATTCTAACAAGACATAGCTAAGCAAATCATAACACAAGCAAAGTAATAAAACTGCATAACTATAGATAGATAGAAAACAATGGAGTTCCAATCACAAATCTCTCTATTGATCTTCTCTCCCACACTATAAATCCTAAAAACCTTTTGCTGTGAAAAGAATACAAAAAAGCTGTCTCTGCCTCTAACACTTTTGCAGAGTATATAAACTTAGGTTAAAACTCGTCAAGGGTAAAATCATCATTTGGTGAAGTTTGGACATCAAGCCGGCTATTTCATGAATTGGTCTTCCGAGCCTTCGGCATCGATCGATTATGTAAAGTGCATATTGATCGACGTGAATCACTCCGTTTCGACCTTGTTGTCTTGGTTGATTCAGAAATCGAGTGATTTCTCCAATTCTCTCTAAAATGCTCCAAAAACATCACTTTCTTCCAAAATACTCCTGAACCTGTAAATATGCTTAAAAAGTTCTATAATATAATAAATAGTAATAAATACACCAATATACCATGACTAAAAGTGGGTCAAAATCATGGTATATCAATGAGCAAAGGTGATTTGGAAGGCGACTTGAACGGTGGAAGCCCTAATGATGGTGGCGGGAAATGATCTCTCCTACCAGGATCTTCTTTAGCGATGGCGGTGGAGTCATCGTCACCAGCTTGTTGATGAAAACTCTGGCGGAGGAAACTTGAAGGAATGTGAGAAGGAAGTATCAAGTTTCTCTTCGCGTTGGAAAAACAGAAAACCGGGGGATGTTCAATCAGAGATTAAAATTGTTAATGGGATTGCTTCGATCCAGATTCCAGAGGAGATCTTTAATGAGACAGAATTACTGTCGAAGAGTTATGTAGTGGGTTACTTTATTGGAGATGCTCCACATGTTGAATCCATTCATGCGACTGTGAATCCTATCTGGTCCTCTCCAAAGACTGGTATTGATGTTCAGTTCATTGAGAAGAACATTATTCTCTTCCGTATCGAGAATAGTCAAATGCGAGCTTGTGTTATTCAGCGCAAGTACTGGCACATTGCGGATGTGCCTTTAGTAGTAAATGTTTTTTCGCTGGGGTCTGGTCTCCATCCTCCGGATCTTTCTGCAATGCCATTGTGGGTTTACATTCGGGGTGTGCCGAATGATCTCTACTCACATAAGGGCCTGAAATGTTTGTGTAGAGCGGTGCAACGCTATGTGAAGCATCACCCAAACACAGAACAGTGTATCAGATTGGATGTTGCTCGTAGTCTTAACGACTAGAAAAGCCTTTAGTGGAAATGATCTCATTTACAGATAAGGAAGGGAGTGTAAAGGAACTTGGTGTGAGCTTTCTGTGTCTTCCTTCTTGATTTAATGCGTGTCATAGGTGGGAATAAGGGTGTTGAGTGTCAGGTTAAAACAACCAGTATACTGAAGAAAACGGCGGCGGAGATGGCTACTTAGACTTTCGATCCAGTTCTTGTAGAGAGTGTGAAAGTACCTAAGCCAGAGGGTAATGAGATTGTTGATATGCTTCATGAATTGAAGGATCTGACTCCGGTTCGCCAGAAAGCTGATTGCTCTATGGATCAAACGAATGAGAGCTCACCGAGGATACAACTTTCTGAGCCTACTACTGAGGTGTTTCCAGAGACTTCTAATGGAAAGTGGGCCACAACACCTTGTATGGGGCACAAGAATGGTAACTCTGATGTTAATCGTGAGGATACTCTAGAGATCATTGGTTCTCTTTCTCGATTAAGTCCTTTACTTGGAATTGAGGAGGAGGGGGTGGATGAAGATGAGGAGGAAGAAAAAGACATAGAAGAAGCTGAGATTACTGATGAAAGGGAAGAGGATAAGAAGACACAAAAGGCGTCAAATATCCTTAGGGGGACACAGCCTTATATGGGTGGAGGAAGCAAGAATAACAAGAAGAAAGTGGTTATGTCTAAGGACCTCAAGTTTGCGGGGATGTCAGGCGTTTCTAGAAAGCCTTCCAGTAGGAAGTAATCATGTCATTCTTTGCAATATTTAACATGAAAAGCAAGCACAACGCTCCTCGTACTCAAAAAGAAAAGCCATATTTTGGTTGTTTGCTAGAGACTCGGGTCCAAGAAGGTAATCACCAGAAATGTATGAATGTGGCTTTGCATAATTGGCAATCTTTAACGAATTATGGTTATCATCCATTGCGAAGAATATGTTTTTGCTGGTCTGATAAGGTGGCGGTAACTAGAATACACATGTCGACTCAGATTATTTCTTGTGGGAATTCAAATACCGGAAACTGGTGAACACTTCATCTTCTCAGCTATATATGTGTTCAACACTGTTGCTGAGCAAACTCAATTATGGGAATACATTAGAGGAACTAAGGCGGCTTATGGGCACTTGGGATTATCCTGGATTTTGATTGGAGATTATAATTAACCGCTAGCCTCTTCAGAACATTCACGAGCATTAGACTATCGCAGTAATCAAGTGGGTATGAGGCAGTTTCAGGAAGTAGTTTCTGAATGTGGGCTTACGGATATACCACATACAGGTGCTCTGATTACTTGGTGGAACAGTAGAGATGAGGATCCAATAGGAAAGAAGCTTCATAGAGTTCTTGTCAATGGACCTTGGATGAGTTTTTATCCTCATCCTTTGCACATTTTGAAGTCGGAGGGGTTTCAGACCACGCCAGATGTCACGTAAGATGCTCCAGTCATCAAAATGATGTAAGGAAACCATTTAAAGTTTTCAAATACTTAACTGAGAACCAGGACTTCATACCTACTGTTAAAGAAGTATGGGATTCACAGCTACTATATTCCATTCTCGGTCAGGTCTATCTTGTTTCATCAAAAATTGAAGACTCTTAAGAAAGGCTTACGAGAACTGAATCGAACACAATATGGAGATATGCCTAATTGAACAAAGTAAGCTTATGAAGAACTTTGTTAATGCCAGGATCAGGTTCTCCTTGATCATACGCCTGAAACATGTTCAAGGGCTACTGCTGCATCAGAGAAATGGTACTTATTAGCCGCATTGAAGAGAATTGTATCAGCAAAAATTGTGTTTTTGGTGGTTGCAGGTTGGAGATCAGAACACAAAATTCTATCATCAAATGGCACAGATGCGAGCTGCTAGAAATATAATTAGAAGCTTGGTCAATGCACAGAGGGCTATCCTTACATCTCAGAGTGACATTGCGAGGGATGCAGTAACACATTTTCAAACATTTTTGCACTCTTAAAAACCCTTCAACTATGGATGTTTCAGTAGCCTATCTCTCTCTTGACGTACCGGTGTCCTCCTACTATTGCAACTGCTCTAGTAGGACCTGTAGTGCCCAGGAAATTATATCTGCCTTGCAATCCCTTTCTAATGACAAAGTTTCAGGTCCGGACGGCTTTACCAAAGAGTTCTTTTGCGGCATGGACAGTCATTGGTAGAGAGTTTAGCGTTGCAGTTCAGTCGTTTTTTGTTTATGGGTTTTTGCCTAAGGGAGTTAATGCCACAATTCTCTCCCTCATCCCTAAGACAGAAGCTGCGCTCACTATGAAAGATTACCGGCCTATTGCCTGCTGCAACCTCCTCTACAAGGTTATATCAAAGGTTTTATCAAACAGACTCAAGATAATTTTCCCAGATGTAATTGAGGCTAAACAATGTGCCTTCCTCACAAGACGTCTTATGCAGGAAAATGTACTCCTGGCTTCGGAACTTATTACTGGATATCACAAGAGTCTAACTAAAGCAAGATGTATGGTGAAGTCTGATATATCTAAGGCTTTTGATATTGTAAAGTGGTCTTTTATTATCTCAGTTCTTTAAACAATGGGGTTTCCTTTACAGTTTATTTACTGGATTAGACTGTGTATATCTACTGCAGCTTTTTCATTATCAGTTAATGGTAGCCGTGAAGGTTTCTTTACCAGAGCTAGAGGGATCAGACAAGGATGTTCATTCTCTCCTTACATGTATGTCATTCTCAGTAATGTGCTTTCTAAGCTTCTCAACCTGGCAGCAGAAGCGAAGTAGTTTGATTATCAGCATAGTGTGCATGTCTCAAACTAACTCACCTTAGCTTTTCTGATGACATATTGGTATTCTCTGAAGGAACTGTTCAGTCTCTCGCGGGGCTCTTGGAAGTAATGAAGAGGTTTGCACGGATCACATGATTGCAGAGTAATGCCACAGAGTCTTCTATGAGCTAATCTTGATCTGTTACTCAATGAAGCTTCTGGGTTTGGAATAAGTGTAGGAACTTTACCTATATGATATCTAGGAATGTCGCTGACGACTAAGACCCTCACCAGTCATGACTACGAGCCTTTAATAGACAAGATAAGAAGACGGATGCTTTGTTGGTCAAACAATGCTTTATCTTTTGCCGGGCGGTTACAACTGATCAAGACGGGGTTGTATCAAGTACAGTAAAGTTTTGGAGCTCTGTGCTTATTCTTCATGTGCAGTGTCTTGAAACGATAGAAAGCATGTGTAGTACTTTCTTATGGTTAGGGACACCTAATAATGCTCATAAAGCTAAGGTTATCTAGGAGGAGGTGTGTAGTCAGAAAGAAGAGGGAGGTTTGGGAGTGCGGACACTGCATGACTCATCTACAGTCTTTGCCTTAAAGCTTATATGGCGGCTCTTTACACAGCCAACATCTCTTTGGGTCTGTTGGCCGAAGCATTACTTGCTCAAGTATTCCTCTTTTTGAGATGTTAGGGATGACACTAAAGGCTCTTGGATTTGGCGTAAATTATTAAGGCTCTGTCCTCTGGCTTACAGTTTCCTTAGGTGCAAATTCAAGGATGGAAATACTACATGTTGGGGTCAAAATCGGTACGACGGAATTAATAGCCAAAACTCCCCGCGAAAATACAAAAAGAACAGTTTTATAAAACCCGAGGAATAGTTTTATAAAACTCAAAGTCGTTTATAAAACTCGCAGACCGTTTTATAAAACTCGAAAGATCGTTTTATAAAACTCGAAGATCATTTTATAAAACTCGGAGATCGTTTTATAAAACTCGAGAAATCGTTTTATAAAACTCGAGAAATCGTTTTATAAAACTCGAGAATCGTTTTATAAAACTCGAAGATTGTTTTATAAAACTTGAAGATCGTTTTATAAAACTCGAAGATCATTTTATAAAACTCGAAGGTTGTTTTATAAAACTCGAGAAATCGTTTTATAAAACTCGAGAAATCGTTTTATAAAACTCGAGAATCGTTTTATAAAACTCGAAGATCGTTTTATAAAACTCGAAGATCGTTTTATAAAACTCGAGAAATCGTTTTATAAAACTCGAGAATCGTTTTATAAAACTCAAAGATCGTTATAGAAAACTCGAAGATCATTTTATAAAACTCGAAAATCGTTTTATAAAACTCGAGAATCGTTTTATAAAACTCGAAGATCGTTTTATAAAACTCGAAGATCGTTTTATAAAACTCGAGAAATCGTTTTATAAAACTCGAGAATCGTTTTATAAAACTCGAAGATCGTTTTATAAAACTCAAGGATCGTTTTATAAAACTCGAGAATCGTTTTATAAAACTCGAGAATCGTTTTATAAAACTCAAAGATCGTTTTATAAAACTCGAAAATCGTTTTAGAAAACTCAAGAAATCGTTTTATAAAACTCGAGAATCGTTTTATAAAACTCGAAGATCATTTATAAAACTCGAGGATCGTTTTATAAAACTCGAGAAATCGTTTTATAAAACTCGAGAATCGTTTTATAAAATTCGAAGATCGTTTTATAAAACTCGAAGATCGTTTTATAAAACTCGAGAAATCGTTTTATAAAACTCGAGAATCATTTTATAAAACTCGAGAATCGTTTTATAAAACTCGAAGATCGTTTTATAAAACTCGAAGATCGTTTTATAAAACTCGAAGATCGTTTTATAAAACTCGAGAAATCGTTTTATAAAACTCGAAGATCGTTTAATGAAATCCGAAGATCGTTTTATAAAACTCGAGAATCGTTTTACGAAACTGCAAAAAACCGAAATAGCCGTAAAACGCGAACTAGTCGCAACTAGTTCGCCCATCGGCGAACTAAGCCGGCCCGGCTTAGTTCGCCGATGGGCGAACTAAGAGGCACTCTCTAGTTCGCCCATCGGCAAACTAAGCCGGCCCGGCTTAGTTCGCCCATCGGCAAACTAAGCCGGCCCGGCTTAGATCGCCGATGGGCGAACTAGGACATGCTCGACTAGTTCGCCCATGGGCAAACTAGAGACGTCCCGTATATTCCGCGTCTCGATCTCCCGCATTCCCGATTTGAAACTTACGTCTTTCTACGCAGATTCGGAATAAGAACCTCTTTGCTCTCTATTTCGTTTATTTTCATTCAAATTCTAAGTTATCGTTTTCTTATTTTTCGTTGTGCGGCTCTGCAGATAGCCGGTTCCTCTGGAAACTTAGGGTTTTCCCGAAGTTTCCTTTTTTACGATTTATTTGACAGTAGGTGGATTTCGACACCCACAGTTTGGCGCTATAAGGAGGGGGGGTCGGATCTATCTTACACCGTAGCCGCAACAAGTCCAACGCAGAAACGATGACTGGTGACAACCAAACTCGCAACGAACGCGACAACGTTGAAACACCACTACCAAAAGACGCGCCTGCGGCTAACGCTACGAACGCTAACGCCGAGACCGTCGAGAAGATGCTTTCCGAGTTTAACAAAAAAATCGGAAGAGCAGGAAAAGCTCATTGGTTTGCTCGCAAAACGGCTTGAAACCCTAACCGCGAGAACCAAAGCGATTCGCCCCCGCGGAACTACCAAAATCCGCGGAAGGAGACTCGATTTCCGCGCTCCTACGGATCGTCCCAGAATTGATCAGGGAAACGTACCGGAAAAAGATTCCGGAAAAGAAAACCCTGACACGACACTGAACGAATCGGAAAAATCTCCTATTCGCGAACAGGAGACCGAAGGCGACGGCATCGAAAGGGTCAACCTGGAAACGAGCGACCAGGCCGACTCGACAGACGAAGACG